TGTGTGAAACCACACTGTCACTGAGAAGTGATGAATTGTGGGTGTCATTTTAAAAATCCCGTTACAAGCAAGTGTCTCCACAAGCACTCCAGTCTCTCAGATGAGATAATGTCTAGAAATGTAGCTGCAGAGAGACTGTTGAGATAACTTATCTTTTACATTTATTTATTTATTTATTTATTTATTTATTTATTTATTTAGTTTTGTTTTTTCAAGACAGAGTTTCTCTGTATAGCTTTGTCTGTCCTAGAATTCATTCTGTAGATCAGGCTGGCCTCGAACTCACAGAGATCAGCCTGCCTCTGCCTGGGATTAAAGGCATATGCCACCTAGCCGGGCAGTGGTGGTGCACGCCTTTAATCCCAGCACTTGGGAGGCAGAGCCAGGCGGATCTTTGTGAGTTCGAGGCCAGCCTGGTCTACAGATCGAGATCCAGGAAAGGCACAATCTTCATAGAGAAACCCTGTCTCGAAAAACAAAACAACAACAACAAAAAAGGCATGTACCACCACCACCCAGCTTCTATCTTTCTTGACTGGGTTTTAAACTTTTCTTTATCTCAAAAGTCCATCCAAAAGCTGAGTGTAATACCACATCACTTGCATGGTTTTAATAATTTACTCAGTACCACATCACTTGCATAGTTTTAATAATTTACACAGGTATTTCATGTGCAGTGTTCAACATACACTATCTGTTGGTGATTATTAGTTGTCTATGCTATACATTGCCTGAATTTTTTTGGAGGGGGGGTTGGAGCTGAGGTTTATGGTGTACAGATGAACAAGAAGGTGGGCTTATGGTAAACAGATGAACATGGAGGTGGGTTTATGGTAAACAGATGAACATGGAGGTGGGTTTATGGTAAACAGATGAACAAGAAGGTGGGTTTATGGTGTGCAGATGAACATGGAGGTGGGTTCATGGTGTACAGATGAACATGGAGGTGGGTTCATGGTGTACAGATGAACATGGAGGTGGGTTCATGGTGTACAGATGAACATGGAGGTGGGTTCATGGTGTACAGATGAACAAGAAGGTGGGTTTATGGTAAACAGATGAACATGGAGGTGGGTTCATGGTAAACAGATGAACATGGAGGTGGGTTTATGGTAAACAGATGAACATGGAGGTGGGTTTATGGTATATGGCTGAACAAGGACGTAGGTTTCTGGTATACAGATGAACAAGGAGGCAGGTTTAGCTGTTCTTGGTACGAGGTCTCTGTAGTGAGGAGTCCCTGGCTACAGTCATACAAGAGGATGAAGCTATGATTGATAACTTCTGTACACTCTCTCAACATTTGTACTCAGACCAGGAGAAGTCCTGGACATCCCCTTAAGCCTGACAGAAAGAAGGCCTTGTCATTCTCAAGGGTGTGAGGTGATTTCTGACACAGCCAACGTCCATGTGGAAAAATACACATTCACTCCTTACTTCATCTACTTTCCACATACCCCCAAAGTTTGTGTGTTGGAACCTTAATCTTTCGGTGTGGCGGTGTTGAGAGGTAAGGCCTAAGGGACAGTGTTTGATTATGGAACGGAGCGCTCATGACTGAATTAACACTTTCATGGACCTGGGTTAGTTCTGGTGGCAGGAGTTCTCACTTTCATGCATCTGGGTCAGTCACCACTAGAGTGAGTTGTTACAAGGGGCGGGGGCTGTTCTCCTATTTTGTCTTTTACACATACATACTTGCACTCCCAGTTTTCACCATGAATTCCAAGCAGTGGACTGCCAACATCATGCTTGGACTGAGAGCCTAAATGTACTTCTTTTCTTCATAAGTTCCCAAGTCTCAGATACTCTGTTACAGCAACAGAAAGCAGATCATGTGCCAGGAGACTTCCAGGCTGAGTTCAAAGACTTTTTTGAGGTTCCTTTAATCTTGTGCCGCTCTGAATCAACAAGAAAAAAACTGATTCTCAGAATAGAAACACGTGGACAATTACTCAGACTGTTTCTAGTGCAGTCACACCATTGGTTTTTTTCCCATGATTTTCCTATTCTAAGTATTTTTCTGAGAGTGCCATGTAAGCAGACTTCTTGGGTATAATAATTCAGAAGGGTAGCTACATCGAGTAGCTGATGAGTGACCCGCTGAGCTTGCAGGGTGACCGCTGAGAGAGGTGAATTGATGTCTTAAGTTCCTTGAATATTGGCTGTTTTGATTTCAATAGCTTAGCAATTTCCTGTAATGTACTGAACAAGAATGCCTTTTAATTGTTTTCTTTTACATTATGTATATGAATGCTTTGGTTGAATGAGTGTCTGTGCATCACATGGGTGCCTGAGCAGGCAAGAAGAGGGCATCTGCAACTCATGTCACAGACGGCTGTGGTTATGGGCGCTGGGACTAGAACCTGGGTGGCTAGAGCTTTTAACTACCGAGCCGCCTCTCCAGTCCCAATCACTCTGTGTTTTGTTTTTTTTTTAAATATTTATTTTGTTTTTATTTATGTGTGTATGTGTGTCTTTGCACCTGTGTGTGGGGTACCCTAGGAGGTGGAAGAAGGCGTCAGATCCCCTGGGGCTAGCGTTCCAGGCAGCTGTGACCCTCCTAATGTGGGTGCTGGGAACCAAACTCTGGTCTTCCCCAACAGCAGCAAGTGCTCTTAACCCTGAGGCTGTCTCTCCTGGCTCTAAGTCCCTTTTTCACTATGGAAAGTCTTGTAAGTTACTCGCTCGCCTCTCTGAACTGTATTTAATACTGTCCTGACCTCTGGCCAGCTTTGTAGGCCAGGAATGTCTTTCTCGAGGACCTAGAAAGCTTCTCCGAATTAAAAACACGGCAAGGGGAAGCTTCTCAGCTCCAGGTCTCTGACAATAGGGACGCTGAAGAGCAAACGCAGACGGTCGAATCACAGAGAAAAACACTTGAAAACTCAGAAATGGTCCCCAGCACCAGATCCACCCCACGGACCAACGTCTCCGATAATGTCATCCGGAACTCTTCTACTAACTCACCCTGGTTTAAAAACTCTCCTGCCATTGGTTCAGTGGAGTTGAGTCTCTCTAGTCTGCCACAATAGTCTTTTAAGTCCTGGTCTGTTTAACTCTGATACATTTCCTATGATGATACAATTAGTGGGTGGATTGAGTTTTCCTGAGCACACCAAGGGATGAATTTAATAGAATGTCTTTGATCATAATATATTGTCATCACTATGGCTCTGTTCACTGATTTATTGCTTCTCTTCTGAACACGTAACTTTCTCTTCCACATGGGTATCTCTTCTCTAATGTGTTCAATTCTTATCCTTTTGTTTATAGGGTTCTTGAGTGTTGTGAATGGCTGCATTTTTAAGATAATAACAATAAAAGTGCTGTAGAAATAAGAGTGAATTATACAGACAAGATACGTTTATTTGCCCAGAAAACCCAAAAGATTTTGTTAACGAACAATAAAAATAAAAATTGGGGTTTTGAAAACGGATGTTTCTGTGCAGAAAATGGAGGCCGCTGGACTTTAAGACAGAATTTATATAGAAGAGTGAAAGTTGTATTAAATAACAATTGTGATACCAGTTAGGAGAAAAGGCCCTGTTTCCAGATTCTAGAATGGAAACTTTTTCCTCGGAATATATTTCTTTGTCTGGTTTTGGTATCAGGATCTCATAAAGTTACTTAAGGATATTTCTGCTTGTCTGTGTTTTGTTTTGGGGGGATCTTCTTTAAAATTTATATTATTGCTTCTGATGAATTTTGTCAAAACTTCACCATAAGGTCATGCAGACTTACAGTTTCTCTTATGAGAGGTTTTTAAGTACAAATTGAACTTTTCTGAATCTACTTGAATGTGAAAATTAAAAAAAATATTTTCAATATCAAATACTGATAGTAGATTTGGAGAACAGCTGGGACCTTCACATGCTGCTGGTGGGAACACGGAACAGTATTGAAAGTAGTAAAGCAATTTCTTATAAAGTTAAACATTAAAGTCAATCCAACCCCATAATTCCTCTCCTGGGTATCTACCCAGGTGGATGATACATACATCTTCACAGATATTTCTACTCATATATGTGAATCACAGAAGAAATGAATGTATCAATATCACTATGCTGAAGGAAGGAAGCAGACACAAACATGCTTCATGCCATGATTGCGTCTAGGTGAAATCCTCACAGAGGCAAAGTTATAGTCATTGAAGGATGATCTGTGATTACCAAGGGCCAGAAGTCGAAAGGAAATATACTCCAAAAAGGCCCATGGGAACTTAGTGTTGGGATAGAAAAATGTAATACATGACTGTAGTGGTGATTTGATTCCTATTCCTATACCTGCAGTTCTCAAAAATGCCTTTATGAAACTCATCACAATATACAGTGAATATATACCAACACCATTTATTAAAATAAAGAAATGATCAAACTGTACATTAAAGTTGATGAGTTATATGTAAGTTATGCTGCAGAATTAGATTATTTAAAAACTAAGACAAGGCAGACATCATACAGTCACCTCATATCCAAGGAGGAGGAAAATGAGATGGGGAAAGCTACTAAATCACATAGAAAAGAAGCTGGATAGTCTGAGCCATGTTTGAATCAATTGACCACAATCCTGGGCCAGCACTGGAGCTGAAACAGAATGGCCAGCCTATGGGGTCCCATGATCACCCCTAGTAAAAAGGCATTGACATTGATACATATATAATGGGACAGTGGAATTCTGCCCAAAGGAAAATGGGTCCCATTACTAAAAGAAAATAGAAAGTATTTGGGGGGTGGGTGGAGACAAACTAAGAAATGTCCTCTTTAAGATAAAATAATAAACAAGTACATTTAAATTAATTTCGTAGCAGAAGAGTCAGATACTTAGTGCTTTGTCTCTGAATAGAATAACTTTAAGGCCACCACGGGAAGAGGCATTACTCTGGGAAAACCCCAGTATTTTCACACGGCATCTGACTCTAGGGGCATTCCTGTTAAATCTCTCCATAGCTTGACCTTGGATCTCTCAAGTGTTTTCTTCACCCCGTGTCTCTGACCGACTTACTCAAAATGCTGGCAGCATTTTCCAAGCATTTTTCTGACAGCTGCCATCACCTCCTTGTTCTTCAGGCTGTAGATGAGGGGGTTCAGCATGGGGGTGATGACACTGTACTGTAGAGAGAAGATTATTTCCACGGGAGAACCCGAGGTGGGCATGGTGTAGCGCAGGCAGGCTGAGCCGAAGTACAAGATCACTATAGTGAGGTGGGAGGAACAGGTGGAGAAGGCCTTGCTTCTGCCCGTGGTGGAGCGCATGTTCAGGATAGCGGAGAAAATGCAACCATAGGAAGATAAAACCAGAAGAAAGGTTCCAGAGGCATGTAGAACAAAAGACCAGAGCAAGACAGTGGCGTTAGTGGAAACGTCAGAGCAAGACAGAGGGAAGAGGGACGGGATCTCACAGTTGTAGTTGTGTATGGCTCCATAGTCACAGAAGTCCAACTTCATAGCTAGGAGGGTGTTAATGAGTGAGCTCAGTATGGCCAGGCCCCAGGATCCCCACACAAGTCCCTCACACAGCTGGCTGCTCATCATCTGGCCATAGAGTAGAGGGTGACAAATGGCTGCGTAACGGTCGTAGGCCATGACTGCAAGGAGCAGAGCCTCGGTGCCTCCAATGGCATACACAAAGAAGGCCTGGGCCAGGCAGGCCTTCACGGGGATGGTTTTTGTCTCAGACACTAGATTTTCTAGCATCTTGGGCACAGAGACCGACGAATACAAAAGATCCACGAAGGAGAGGTGACCCAGAAAAAAGTACATCGGGGAACGGAGGTGAGCGTCAGCCATTATCACTAGCAGAATCACGGAGTTCCCCGTCAGGGTCAGGACATAGACCACAAGGAAAACCACAAAGAGCGCGGCTTGGACCTCAGCATCGGCAGACAGCCCAAGAAGGATGAACTCAGAGACAGCACTGAAGTTGCCCATAGCTGTGGGGGTGCCTCTTCCCCTTGGAATTTGAGAAACGAAAGTAAATAAAACAATAAAACCTCCTCTTACATGATGCCTTCTCTTCTTCAAATCAACAATTTCCTCAACACCCCAGAGCCCAAATTTCACTGGCTGTTGGTCCAGATGTGATAACAGTTTCTCTGTTTTAAATACCACGCATTCGTTGTCAGGCCAGCCAGCCGCCCACACTGGCCATTTTCCCCTCTGACATGGGTTATTATTGGGCTTTGGTTGTTTTAGGTTGTTTTTAGATCTTCAGTTCTTCTGAAGAAAATGGGGATCTAAAATAATACAGACGAAGAGTGAAAATGAGGATTCCAAAGACCGGAATTCCCAGTTCAGCTGAAGAGTCACTGCAGTCACGGTGGGAGGAGCCTAGTCAAGGATGATGCTAGGGCTGAAAGAGAGAGGTTTTTAAAAATATTTTGATGGTGGTCATGTCAACATTGGCTGTAACTGGGGTATAGTAGAAGTTTCTTTGGAAGAAGGAAAGATAATGAACTGCCTGATCAACTATTGGCCTGCAATGTCCTAAGCATACACTATCTTTTTTGAAATATATGTATATGTGTATATATATATATATATATATATATATATATATATATATGAGTGAACTAACAAGAAACACCCGTAATAAAGATGTGTAGGTAAAAGACGTGTAGTTGCAGTCATAGAGTTAATTACAGTTTCCTGTTTTAATTTTCTCTTGCTCTGGTTGGCAATCAGATATGGATGTCTAGCTCAGGGAGATTAATTTCAGCATAATCCATGTTCCTCATACTTTTAATCAACAGAGGTTAAGAGGCTGTGTGAGGTCAGAGTTGGTTGGCTTCCATGGGACTTACACATTTTCTCTAGGTTCTATACCAGCAAAATAAACAGTGGAAGAGTATATTTTCCATAAGTGGTTTCCTAACTCCCGAGTAATAGCTTGCCCACAAAGCCTAGAGGGGGTTCCTGCTTTCCATCCTGAGATATGTCCTTTATCTCCTGAGGACAGACAGATAATAACATCAATAAATCATTTCTTCTGAGTACAGAGACCATGGTGCCTGGGAGCCAGGAAGGAAGCTGCACTGTTGATGGAGTTTCAGACACTTCAGAAAAAGAAATGTCACTCCCAAAGCTAGCCCCAGCTGCAATCACCAGGGATGACTTGCCTTATAGAAATATTTCTGATTTTAGAAATTAAATTGAAGAAATAAACCTCTTGTACACACCAGGCACCCTCCTGTCTCCCTGACCCCTGCCACCAGTTATAGGGTTACAGTAGCTCCTGGCCACACCCAGATTTTTACATGAGTTCTGGGGATTAGAACTTAAGTTCTCATGCTTATGCAAAATTCTCTTACCCAGAAAAATAAAATAAAACCTGTTTTTGTGGCGGTTTCATGTGAAATATGCAAGGATATTTAACGACATTATCTAAGGTCCTCACAGAAGTTTTTGTCTTTACTAGAAGGGTCCCAGAAGAGCTAGAGAAACTGTTCAACAGTTAAGGGTTCATACTGCTCCTGAAGATGGCACATTTCAGTTCCCAGCACCCACACTGGGCATTCAGCTACAGATATGACACCCTATTCCAGTCTCCGTGGGCCCTCCACACATGTAAGTACGCCCACACAGACACACATATACATAATTAAAACTAGAAAAAAAATTAATAGGGTACCAGAAAATAAAATAATACTTCTATTAAAAAAATCTTATTTTCTTTCTTAGTGTTTGAAATCACACTGGTTTTAGCCATTCATTTCTACAGACTCCAGATGAACCAAACTTGAGGAAGTATAATAAAACGAGTTTAGTGGAAACTAAAGGGTGTGCATTTGAAAACCTCCTCACGGAAGATTCTAAAGGTTGTATTTGAAACAAGTAATGGAAGCAGGGTCCAGAGAGCCAGCACCCGCGTGGGAAGTGTGGGAACCAGCCGGTTATCTGGGGGAAGTCTGTGTCAGTGTCTTCCCGGATCTCTGGGATCACGACGGACCCCCAGCTTTAGAAGCTGGAGGGGAACTTCAGAAGCGAAGGGAACTTAAGATTGAAGGGTGCTGGGAACGAACCTCAGGGCAGATTTTGTCCTGCCAGTGTCTGCCGCGCCCACACGTACCTGTCCCGTGGTTCTAACGGTGAAATAAACAGCTCGCTGGAGCCCATGAACACGGCTTGGTGGATTGGGAGATACAGAACAAGGTGATTCAATTTTACTCTTTATATCTTCGCCGCTCCCTAGCCTTGCCTCAGGAGCTCCGGTGCGGCTTCCTGGCTTCCTGAAAGTTCTAGAAAATCCCTGGATGGTTTGATCCAGAGATGAGGCGATGAGAGAATCAGAATGCAGGGAAAGTGTCACTGGGGAGAAAACAGCAAAAATCATTTAACCATCTCTCTCTCTCTCTCTCTCTCTCTCTCTCTCTCTCTCTGTGTGTGTGTGTGTGTGTGTGTGTGTGTGTGTGTCTGTGTCTGTGTCTGTGTCTCTGGCATTTTCCCCAAATTTACAATGTGGATGACAGTATCACTTACAAAACTAAGAGGACTTAGCACTAAACAAGCCACGTCGGGTATTTCTAACCTGTCCACCATTCCAATTTTAATTATTCAGTGTTTTCCGCCAAACTAAAGAGAAACAAGGAATCAGAAATAAGATGCAGGTAAGAAGCAGGGTGGGGAGTGATAATTTCCTCCATGCATGAAGCAAGCTGGGTAAGTACTGGAAGTACTGGAAGGAGAGAGAGGACCATAGTGAGTGAAGGAACCATGCAGAGGGAAGGAGCAGATGACCAGCTCCAGGAGGTGGCCAGCAGAATTCTGGCTGATACATTGTTTACCTTGTTTTTGCATCCTGCAGATGGAGAGTCCAGTCAATCTGCCTTGAGGGCAAACAGGAAACCTTTTCACAACCATGGAAGTCCTGTAACTGGTAATTCTTTTTCTTTCTAGGAATATTTATGAATAAAAAGAGTCATATTTACCGGAACTCTCCCGGTCAAAAATGGTTACAATTGTCTCTGAACTCAGGCTTGTCCATGCCCTTGAAAAGAGAAAAGAGAAAGGAGTGAAAGTTCCCACCAGTTCACTGTGTAAGCAGCTCGTCTTCTATGGCCTCACTCCCAGGCACACATCCACTCTCTCCATATGGCTTCCACACCATTGTCAGTATTGACGGCAGTAGCAAGCTTGGAGTTCTCAGGGGTAACTGAGCACGGCAGGCAGCAGATTTAAATAGTTGATAGCTGGGTAGCTGAATTGGATCCCCAAAGACAGCTGGGTTGGTGCCTTGTATTCCTTGAAGGCACAACCTAAAACCAAAACTTTCAACTCATTAACTTGTTATTTGTTTTAGTTTGACTTGATTTTAAGTTGGCATCTAATACTGTACATATTTATTAGGCACAGTGTGATGCTTTGATACATGTATGTATACTATCCATGATGAGGTCAGAATCAGCCTATCACCTCAAACATTATTTCTTTGTGGTGAGTATGTGAAAATTTTCTTCTAGTTATTTTGAAACATACAGTTCATTGTTGTTACTGATGCCCACCCTATTGGGTAACAGACCACCAGAAACCTTCCTCTTAGATCTGATTATTCTTTTTTTATTACTTTTTATTTACTTTACATACTAACCACAATTTTCCCTCCCTCCTCTCCTCCTGTTCCCTCTCCCACCTCCTTTCTACTCCCCCCCTCCACTCCTCAGAAACGGTAAGACCTCTCATGGGAGTCAACAATGCAAGTTGAGGCAGGACTCAGCTCCTCCCGACTGCATCAAGGCTGAGTGAGGCATCCCACCTCTTTTTGGAATAGGTTCCAAAAAGTCAGCTCATGCACTATGCACAGATCCTGGTCCCACTGCTAGGAGCCCCACAAACAGAATGAGTTATACAACTGTCTCCCACATGCAGAGGGCCTAGGTCAGTCCCATGTAGGCTCCCTAGCTGTCAGTCTGTGAGCTCCCATGTCAACTGTCTCTGTGGGTTTCCCTGTCATGATCTTGACTGCCCTTGCTCCTACAATCCCTCCTCCCTCTCTTCAACTGAACTCCTGGAGCTCGGCCCAGTGCTTGGCTGTGGATCTCTGCATCTGCTTCCATCAGTTAATGGATGAAGGTTCTATGATGACAATTAGGGTAGTCATCAATCTGATTACAGAGGAGGCCAGTTCAGGCACCCTCTCCACTATTTCTAGGAGTCTTAGCTGAGGTCATCCTTGTGGATTCCTGGGAGTTTCCCTGGCACCAGGTTTCTCCCTAACCCTGTAATGGCCCCCTCTATCAAGATATCTCTTTCATTGCTCTCCCTCTCTTTCCCTCCCCCAACTCGGCCATCTCAATCCCTCATGTTCCCATCCCCCCACCACCACCCCCAGTTTGCCCAGGAGATCTCATACCCTTCCCAGGGCCATCCATGTGTCCCTCTTAGGGTCCTCCTTGTTACCTAGTTTCTCTAGACCTGTGGATTGTAGCCTGGTTATTCTTTGCCTAAATCTACTATCTACTTATGAGTGAGTACATACCATGTTTGTCTTTCTGGGTCTGGGTTACCTCACTCAGGATGATTTTTTCTAGTTCCATCTATTTGCCTGCAAATTCCATGTCATTGTTTTTTACAGCTGAGTAATACTCCATTGTGTAAATATACCATACTCCCTTCATCCATTCTTTGGTTGAGGGGCATCTAGGTTGTTTCCAGGTTCTGGTTATTATGAATAATGCTGCTATGAACATAGTTGAGCAGGTGTCCTTGTGGTTTGGTTGAGCATCTTTTGGGTATATGCCCAAGAGAGGTATCGCTGGGTCTTGAGGTAGATTGATTCCTAATTTTCTGAGAAATACTGGTTTCCAGAGTGGCTATATTAAGTTTGCACTCCCACCAGAAGTGGAGTGTTGATGTTTTTGGTCTTTTTGGGGGGCCCACCTCCCAGCTCCCATATAAATCACACATGGAGGCTTATTCTTAGTTATGAATTCCCA